CTGTCCGTGTTTCCAAAACGAATGAATCGATTACGATGAAATTTTGCAGACATGGATTCTTTATCAAATTTCCAGGAGTTTGTTAATTGCAATGTAGGACAAAACATGAAGAAGACTCTTTGACATCTCCGTTAGTTATGTACTAATTGCATGAAATTCAAATTGGGATTTGGGAATAACCTTAGCCATAAAATACGCACTGCCAAGCTATAGCCCCACCCAGGAGCTCGTTTGCTATATTTGTTTAATTTATTTACTTTCACATTATACGGATTGTTTGAGTTTTTCGGATAAACTCAATTCTTAAATTTCTTATCGATTCACTCTGTGATGCGCAGTAAATAAATTGGGAAATAAGTAATTTGTCGCATAATTGGTTTTAATTGTTAATAAAAGCATTATTTACATTGAATTTGTAAATTACCGTATCTTCGTTACGTAATTGTAACAGCTTGATGCAAGGACTCCTTTAAGTCATTACGCAACAAAATTTGCCTAATTTTCTTACTGGCTGTCGGAATAAGGACTACTAGCACTGTAAATCTGTTAAGTGAAAAGTATTAAAAATGGTGTAACATTTGTTGTGGTGCTATGCTATGAAGAAAAAGTAAGTAATATTTACTCAAAACTTTTTCAGTTTGAGAGACTCGGTGATCTGGATTAACTTCCGAAAATGCCAAAGAATTTACTACACAACTTTTGATTAGCACCTGTAATAAATCTTGAGCGTGAATGGAAAAATTTGACATGAAATCTCTACCTGGATCGCACAAAGGATTCGAATAAACGCACAATTAATTTTTTGACAGTGACAAAAATTTGTTCGAAATTTAGCGGAAACAAATTTACACGCCCCTTAAACGTCGCGGAAGTCGCAGCAGCAGCCCCGTTTTTACGTTGAGTTCAGTATTTAAGGGAACACCACTTCCACTGTAAAATAATCTCCTTTTTCAGGATTTTCAAAAACACTGCCAATCACAATTAGACTTGATAGCGCCAATTTCGATAGAACGCGCTATTTATGCCAAAAGTAACGCGCACAACGTCAAACACCTGCATCTTCTAACAGCGATAATAACACGTGTGTTAATTAAATTTCGTCCGATAAAACTCCTTATCGCAATCGACCAGTTGTGTCTTACTTACAGCATCTTATCTAAATTGAATAAATATAAATAAAATTTAAACAAGGAAATATTATGCAATTACAAAGAATTCTAAAAGGAATAACAGCAACGAGATACAAATTCAAATACAATAAACCAACTTTGCACTTATACGAAAATAGTTCTCCAGATTTACACTTAATATATTGAAATCTCATCTAAATTGAATAAATATAAATATAAATAAAATTTAAACAAGAAAATATTATGCAATTACAAACAATTCTAAAAGGAATAACAGCAACGAGATATAAATTCAAATACAATAAACCAACTTTGCATTTATACGAAAATAATTCTCCAGATTTACACTTAATATATTGAAATCTCATACACAGGGTGTCCCATCATTATTCTTGGTGTTTAGACCGAAAGAACGTCTACATGATGCTGTTTACATAACAATATGTATTTAACTTACTTGCTTACGTCGTTTCCAGAAACTTTCCAGCAATCTAAGTCTAGCATCCCTTAACAATACCTTAATTTGAAGTTAAACAATTAATATAGTCGCCGATATTACCGTTTATATTTTATGCAGTAGGTTAGAGGAGCGCCATACTCACAATATCTAAGTTGGGTTCTGAAAATTTGGATAAAATCGGGAGTGCCATGCTGTACAATATAATTGAAAGTTAAATACATAGCGAACATAGGTCGTAACGTAACCCACCTGGGGTTTCAGTACTAAATTTACAGTGGGTTTCGTTTAATCGTCACTGAAATAGCAAAAGGCGAATACCCCCATTACCCGAGCTTAATAACACAATTGGAACTCCTTTCGCATCATCCGCAATCCACAAGTTAGCATTGGGGCCTTAATATGAAACAGCAAATTTTCAAACTATGAACCGCGGTGTTGATTGTTATTATTAAAAAGACAATCAGCTTTGTGCTCAAAATAATTCGTAGGGTGTAAATCCCTTCGAAATTAAATAGGAATTAAATATCGAAATGTTTTTCTGCGTTGTGTGCGCCTGAGGATTTAATTTCGGCCATGTTTGTCTCGTAAAAACCAATAACGTCGGTTTGGTGTGGATATCTTTGAGTTCGCTATACGGGACACGATGCTGCCCTAGGCAGACTGAGCTAACAAACTATTCACACGAAATGTATTTGGTCTTTTTGGATAATAAATTAAAGTTAGCTGCGGTTTTGCTAGGATTACTCCTTTTTATTACATTCAAGATTAGAGGTGAACCTCCTTTATATGTGTAATATATAGCAAATCTCTTTCGTTTTTATCGTTTTGTCATTGTGTGTCTTCACGTCGTTATTGAAATTGAACTTTTGATCCTATAATTCAGTCTTCCCCGGCTCGTATAATATATAAAAGCTACTTAGGGTTGTTTATTAAAAATAGAAGCGATGTTTTGTTTCTGGAACGTATAAATTGCTAAAAAGGAAGAAAAAGTTAAAAACCGAATACACCACTTGGTAATCGCGCAGAATTATCTATACTCATTTTATGTACCGGGTGTTCCAAAATGTCTATACTAATTACAATAAATTTGGGATGATAAATAAGAAAGAAAGTTTGCTGATACCACTTGGAAGCCTGTTAAGGGCAGATCCAGATTAATCCTTTAAGAATTTGGGTATCAGGGCCATGTTAATTTTTGAAAAAAATCATTACTTGTCCATGTGGAAAAAATTACGTGGTGAAGAAGTCAAATTGTCACCTTTGGAGCGTCTTAAAAAAGCGAATTGTAGTTCCACAATACTCAGCATAAATTGAGTGTATAAGTTGTGATCGATAGCAAAAAGGTGCCAGTTAACAAGAAATTAAAGCTTATTATAAAACTGATTTAAGGAATATGTATGTATTCCATTATGGGAGCGCAAAAAACCCATAATCGCGCAAATTCCATTCAGTAAAGGGCACAGTCTGTTATTAAAACAAACACGTGTATAAGCGAATTCCTTGCAAAACTTGACCAAAAAAAGAGAAGTAAAAATTGTAACAAAGAAAACTGTTAGTAAAATCAAATTATATTAAAGTTATTTATTAGTGTCACAAAAACAACAAGGCAGTTGAATGTAAAGGCACCATCTACGGTGTTTCCTCAAAATGAAATCAAAACGTAATAAAAACCCAGTTAATGTAAATATGTATACAAAACGCACTTCCGGAACTAAATTATACTGATCAGCAAAAGAACCAACATTGAGAGCTGACCTGTATTATACAATGAATCTTCAATTGTCAACAAATTGTTTGCAGTGTTGGGTCCTTTGCTCCATTTGGAGATTATTGCTGGAATTGCTTCGATATTTATAATTCTACGTACATTACTTTGTCGTTACGAAAATTTCACCTACTCGACAACGAGACCTGATTTAAGCTACATTACCTGCGTTATTTTTGTCACTCCGAAGATGCATTCGTGTTATCTTATTCATATTTTGAATTATTTAGATTATTACTTGTACGGAAATTTAGTTATGTGTGCATCGTAAAGTTGTTTTCTTGAAGTTAACGTCACGCTTATACTTCTTGATGTCTCGCCGATTTGTATACTAATTCAAAATTAACCCTTCCCAGCTACAATAAGAACCTTTGTTGATGATACAGTTATACTCAAAAAATGAAAACCCGAACAAACACAAAAATGGAAAATCAAAATTAATGAAACTAAATCCAGTCGAATAAATTTCACCTTAACGGAGCAGTGTCCTGGAGTCTCTCGCAATGGAGTTCAAATTCCCCAGTTTACAACCACAAAATACATAGGAATACATTAGGATAAAAAAATAACTTCAAAAGAGCACACAAAGAAGAAAAGGAAACAAGTAGATCTAAAGTTAATGAAATGCAGTGGCTAATTGGAAGGAGATCTATGCTATCCCTAGAAAATAAAATCTTGCTCTGCAAAACAATCATTAAACTGTGTACGGAATAGAACTTTGGGAATGTGCAAGCAAATCTAACTTGACAATCATACAGAGAAGTCAATCAAAAATCCTATATATATATATATCAGCTAATGCTCCCTGGTATGTTCCAAACCAATCAATTCACGAAGACATCAACATGCCAATGGTTAGAGATGTCATCAAAGACAAAAGCAGATACTACCACGTTAAACTCCAAATTCACGTAAACTCACTTCTGCATCAACTACTAGAACAAAAGATTCCTAGAAGACTCATGAGAAACTGGCCTATCGATCTAAAGCAACTTTAGGGGAGCCCTTTCACTGGAGAAGGTTCCAAACGTCGTGGAAGAAATGCAAATACTAGTTATTAAGTCAAAACGTTAGCCCATAGAATGTAAAGCTCTGATTGCTAATTGGAACATTAAAAAAAACATTATATTAAGGCCTTAGAGCATAATCCGATATACAAAAAGGTTTATTAGAGATAGGTACAGGTTAGCGCATTTGCTGAATTTTTCGTAATTTTCCAAATGAGGCAAAATTTCAAAATTATATTTTTTAGCTATAGATGAAAGTAAAAACATGCATATATATTACACAAGGTGAACATAAGAAGTCAATTTATTTGGGAAAGCCGTAAAAAAAGTTAAAAAAAAGTGCAAATTATTCAGAAATCCTACAAAGTTATATTAAAAAAGTTACAGACAGTTTTCGAAATATAATTGAAAAACTAAAAAGGTTGCTAGTGCTGCCATGTTCAAAGAAATTTCGTCGATGACAATTTTTTTAATAAAATCAATAAACACTAAATTCAGTTTTCGTAAATGATTGCTGGATTGTGTGTAGTAAACTGTAAAATTTCCTAAATTGATATCATATTTTTGTAACCCTTAAAATTTTGATAATACAACAAACAAAAGTATATAAATAAACATCTGAAACTAACGCATTTAATTAATACATTTGATTTTTCGTATTGACAGATGTTTGTGAATCAACCTTTTTTTAGCAATTTTTGGAACATTTACATAATATGCTACCAAGCGAATAGAAAACGAAAAACTCTGTCAATGTGCTAGCGCTCTATTATTTTTCCTCTCCAATATTATTTTAAAATTGATGACACACGTATATTAATAGACGTTTACTAATTATCGCACAAAATCTGTCAATATCTCTTGGTCTAAACGGCATATTATGATACATGTTTGGTTCCATCTGGAACGCCGAGTAAATTTTAATACTAGTAGTCTATTATTTTGAAACAACCATCAACTAATTACATATTTTCTTATTCTTTCTTTTGTAATGATGCCTATTTGCAGGATTGAGTCATTGACAATAGTAACAATGGAACCTGGGGTTTGTATCAATTTCAAAGTGAATAGAGCTTTATCAGTTTAATTACTCTACGTAATTAGGGCATAATGAAGTGGATCATTAGAGGGTATATGTAATTACTTTGGTATTGATCTACCTGGATTTCGAAGATAAACCGATTGGCTTGATATAACAATTGACAAAATTTTTAGAATTCCATAGACCATCAATTTCTCGAACTATTTTAATTAAAAAATTGTCACTTATCCACTTAGGTACCTATAGGTACATCTAAAGTGTTTTACAAAATAGAAACCTAAGTGAACAAACTAACACAAAATAATATTCAAAAGGCTTGGAATGTTTATTTTTGTAGTAGGAGCCACACTGATAGTAATAAAGTTTAAGTCATTCTTTCACAATGTCCTTTTTACGTTTAGTAAATTTTTCATATTGTTACTTGAGACAAGTTCATTAACAACGAATGGGTTTCCTACGGGGTCCTAAATAGACAAACAATTCGGATAATCTCATAATTAGTAAACAGTTGACGACTCCATTGTCAGTCAAGATTAGTTCAGGTCCTTTAACAATTTTTAGTATAATACACAGGAAAATTTGTAGAAAGAAGGTGCCTTAATTCAATTCCATCTATTTCGATATTTTAAAAGCTTTTACTTATAACAAAACAATCTGCAATTTCGAAAGAGTAATTTACGCTGAAGATGTCATTAAATGCGATTCTTCAGTTGAATTTCATTAAGTAACAAAGAGAAAATCAAAATTAGAATTTGTAAATAACTACTCGAATAATTAATTCTTCATTAAGTCGGCACTCTCAGGGAAAACAAACACCTAGATCTAAAGTAGAAATCAGCAAACTAACAAAACGAGCAAAACTTCGTATCCTGGTCGTCCTTTTTCAGCACTTTATCTTAGAAAAGGACGAGCGTCAAAATATAGGGCTTATGTGCGCGATTTATTGAGTCTCTTTATCTTTTACCTCAGTCAAATAAACATTGGTAATTATGAACTTACCATAAAGTAGGAGAATAAATATGGGTTTCAGGACTCGTTTTAATGTTATTTTCTGCATTATTAAAAAGAGGGAGATTTCAATTTATCTTGTACAAACATGGTTAATTTACAACTTAATTACGCATTATACCTAGTCATCTTTATCAGCTCATTATTAGTTTTCCCTTTGATAAATAAGCCTCTCAATGAAAATTAATTAAAATAATAAAACACCTGACGCTAGTTTCCTAAAAAAAATGTATGTGTATGTTTTATAATTGTGAACGTTTTCAGGTTAATATAATAATAAATCTATACCCATATCACAATTTCAGTGCATTAATAGACGCATAATCTAGGCGGCGTGGTCTGAAAATCGAGCACATGCGCTACGCAAACTGAAATGAAAACCTGGACCTCATTGGTTATATTTCGAGGGACGGAAAGGAAATCTACCCTTCGTAAAATCTGGCAAGTGGTTTAAACAGTCAGTTTATCACAGAATATCATTCAGTTAACATCTACTTATAACCTAATTAAATTAGTACCTCAAGCCTTTTCCAGTTGCAATTAATAATTACTTAGTCAAACAACTTTAAAGTTAAAAGTTTTTATGATCGGTTTAGTGATGATGTCCCAAGAGCAAGTAACTCCCGAAGACATTCGTCCACGCGGTGTCTACAGCATTGATCAAATACTGGGGGTAAATCAGCCAAATGTCCGGAAGACTAATAATGGTAAGTTTGTTTGATTTGTTCTTGCAGTTTTTTATAATTACGCCGCTCGTTAAAGTTTGGGGGGTTGATTTCAACATTTAAACGGACGGGCGCTTGCGTGATATCGTCGAAAAAAACGCATTTTAAATCTGCTTTTCAAATCAACAAGGGTTCGGGACAATAACGATTAATATGTTGCGGACAATAAGACTGAGCCAATGTAATTAGCTAGATAATTAAGCTACTGGGGTGAATTTTAAGGGGAATATTCCACCCCTGCATCGTTTCCGATAGATATAACGCACACGTGTTTTCATGTCATATTTTTCGTATAATTTCCGATCAGAATTCTATTGCTGTGCGTACAATTAAATGTGTTTCTTGTAAAAATTCCAAATTGGTCGTATTTTCCATGTTTGATTTCGTAATAATTTTAAAATATACCTATCCAATTACCTAGAAATATTCCAATACACTGCCCGCTATCTTAATTGTTAAATTAATTGACTTATTAAGTGCGTTTTATAAATTGGCATTTTTAAATCAATGGGAAATTTACGGTCACTAGTTAATTTTGTTAATTACAATAGTTTAAATGAGTCAGAGAGCCCGCACAAGCGATACAATCAAAATATGTAATACTTGTTCGCAATTTTTTGAAGTAAGATTTTATTATTAATCAAAATCATTGAGTCAAAAATTTCAAAAATCAATAAGTTTCTCTACCAACCCAATTTGTGAATTTATATGATTATGGTGGGCCAACAACCTTAATTTTTATAGAATCAATTGCATCGATGACTTTTACATGTTTAGACAACACACCAGATGGAGGGATTAAAAACTTTTCTTAGGATCACCATGGATGTGATGATGCATCTACTAGAAGCAAAGGCCATCTAATGACTAGACTTCCGATTGATTAAATATACAATGTATTGATTAATTTCGATATTTTGCACAACAATGCAATGTATAGACTATGGACAAGCCCAGATTTTTGTTACCCAAACATATTTGTAAAGACGTACCAAATTGCAAATCTTCAATGTGTTATATTTGGGAAACTGAATACTCAAATTTTAAAAAAACTGCAGCCATAAGTAGGAGATATATGTGTGTCGTTATACAGGTACAATGAGAGATGTAATAAAAAATCGACAATAAGTAAATTTACCAAAAAGACATGCAACCCCCATCCAGGAGAAATTAATCAATTGGACAAAATCAGGGCCCCTTATAGAAGAACTAAAACAACCACTACAGTCTACAACCAAATCCCTTAGCACTGAGCCAAATAACCAATTTCATACGATTCGCTCACTAGTTATGAAGCGTTCAATACCCATATCTCATTCTCTAAATCAAAATCACAGACCCGAAGAAATCAATTGCTTAAATGACGATGATGCAATATACAATGTAGGTACATAGCCAGACGTTACAATAGAATATTAAGTAGGTAGACGTGAAGTTTACACGTAAATAGATAGAACACGTATACCAAATACCTATACCTAAATCAACAATTGAGAGACAGATAGACCCATACAATGCCCATACTCTTTAGTCAGCAGCATTCAATCATCAAATATCATGAAATTTATGACTGAACAAGTGAACAGGTCGCATCTTTGTTTAAGCTTCATATCAGAGTAAACAATTCACGGTACGGCATTTTGTTGATTGACAAGGTAATTGTCATTACAACGAGCGACAAACACAGACGGACGGACAGAAAGTTCAAAAGAGAATTAAGTCAGTTGGTCCTTTGACTATTGTCTACCTATTACTGAAAACAGAATTGCAAAATTCGAAATATTAATACATTCATTTTAATTTAAGGGTACTCTTGACTTAATTTTTTTACGCAACCCATTTCCAATGTGTTTGTTTACATATTAACCTTAACTAAACAGGTCGGAATGCTTTTCGTACCATCGTTTTAGGAGTGAGTTACCTTGGAGTAGGAATTTTGGAAAATGAGAAAAATACATTTAAACACCTACGCGAATCTGATAATTACGTTCTCGTATTTGTTATAGGCGCAGAGAAAGAATTATAGACAAAATTCTGATATCGTAGCTCCCAAACATTTTGGACCATAGGTTCATTGAAAAAGAAATCAGTTGTTTTGATCCTTCCGCTCGCCCAACTTTTTTTATATAGGTAGGTACTTAATTGTTACATCTTACCTTTGAGAAAATAATATGACCATTAGAAATATCAAGGAGCAAAAAAGAAATGCTTCATAACGGGCAGATATAGACCATAGCAACTATCAATAATTACTCCTGGAATATTCGCCACGGTAAATTAACTGGACTAAAATATCAGCATTCTTAAAGTCGCACCGGATATACTCCCCTACGGAGTTTTTGCCTCCAGAATTCGGCAAGACTTTGCCTTGCGGGTATATTGATCTGTGAAAGGAGGAAGAAACGCCATGGAAAATTGGCTCACGAAAAAGTGCCCTCAGCATAATCATATCGTCACCCCAAGGAAATTTTACGTTCAACAAGCAAGTGAAATTTGCTCAATATGTAACATTACGCGGATGCATTACGTCTATCTTCATTCTTCAAACGTTTATGAATAATAAGCATTTAAATAAATGGATATCTGTGTTTGCAAGCTTCTAGGTAATTCTCAAACGGGTCGAGGCAGAAATATGCCAGTGTGTTTTAGGTAGAATTCTATCTAACTATTGTAATGATGTCAGTATAGTTATAGGATTCTAGAGTTATATTTTATCACTTCCAAGAAACACTCTAACTTTAACTCATAAATATCTCGGTCAAGTTCGTGAATCAGTTAATTCCGCCATATTGGAACAAAATGACTGAAAGAAATCTACCTATAACACCTGATCGGCCAAGCTGAAATGGATTTGAATATTGAAAATTACATGGTCTATTATTTGCGCAAGACAGTTTCTTATTTCTCGTGTCATTTTTACAGCGTTCATGAATAATGTACGGTCGGAGTAAAATGAAGGAAAAAAATGAGCACGTCTGAATTGCAGCATTGGATAACTCACTTAAACCGTAAAAAAACATATACAGGCTGCTTCATGTAAACCGTTACCTAAAGGTATTAATGATTTCATTAATAAATTAAATCTGAAAATTTTCATACCAACAGTTTTTCGTGATCCATCGAAAGGAAATATTATATGATCGTTTGTCTTCCAGCTTTACCGGATGTCGATAGCAACTTTGTTATTTTAAATAGAAATAGAACAACGTGTATTTTATCGCATTTTCGAAATCTACAACTGTTTTTTAAGCTATTCAAGAATTTGCAAAATGTTTCACAGCTTTTCGTCAGAGCCCTGTATCTATGACTCCGTTGGCTTGAATAGCAAAGTCTTCCAAAATCAACATTATTGACTTGATGCTACATAATGATTTAGATTTTGATCGCTCTTCTACAGGGCATTTTAAAACAAATGGTCAATTTTAATAACCTCAAACGTTAAAAAGTGGATTTCTTCACTTTCAAATGTCGAAAAAAATGCTACATTGAATAAGATGCTATTGTCCGGCCCTTGGAGATATTACCTGGGATAAACTACTGGTTTTATTTTGAGGGAGCGCCGGGTCATTCTACCCATGATGCTCTTACAGTCTGTTCCAGGTAGAACGCACCAAAGGGAAACGGCAATAAACAATGAGGGGTTTACAATTAGCGTTCAACGTACTACTCCAATCTCTTTCTAGCATCAGGCAAGCGCAATAACGTACGTTGAACACTAACCTCAAATACATCAAAGGCCTTGAGGATCCTTCGCGAAAAAATACCTATGGTGCGTTCAACTTGGGACACACGGTATGTTTGTGACGAACATTTTTGGATTGGAGTCAGAGGTCCATAGTGTTGCTCTCCTAGATCTTCAGATAAAACCCCAGTTGCTTCTCGTGAAAAACTAGTAGTTAGGACGAGGAAAGCTTTTGATGCAGTAGAAACTGGAGAGGCGATTACCAACGGGGTTCATGGGAGGATCCTATTATATATTGAAAAAAACGGTGGCCACGTAGAACAAAAACTCAATGAATGTGTGTTTTCTATTTTGTTTTCATTCTTTTTACCTGTTTCTTTTTGTTATGTAACCTTTATTTAACTTTTTATTCATTAAAGTAAATACGATTCTTTTTGTATTTAGTGAACTGCCATCAACAACGAATGACACACCATTATAACCATAAAAAGATTTGTCTGACAGGTCTACTAACGCATTTATTTCAAGGCATCCTATGCATACCGGTCACAATTCTAGGATATCTAGAATTGAATGGAAAGCATAACAGGTAGGTATTGGGAATGTAATAAAAGGAGAGAGAGGATCTAAATCATTCTCATGTAGTATCAAGTCAGTATTGTTGATTTTGGAAGACTTTTTGAAATTAAAATCAAAGTCAACCTATAAAACTATAGGTACAGGGCTACAAAAAACAGCAGTTAAACGTCAAAAATTTTGCAAAAACCGGACGTGAAACGATTATGATAATATTTTCTTTCGATAGATCATGAAAAACTATTTTGGTATGCAAGTTGTATAAATTTGTATAAATGATAACCTGAATACTTTTAGGTAACGATTGCGTGAAACACCGTGTATTTAAATGCTTATTAATCATAAACGGTTTAAGATAGTCGGAGCTTGTCGCTTGTTAGGACAATTGAGAAACACGTTTAAAAGCTACAAGTTACGAAAACCCGAGCGAAAGCCTGTCCACTATTAGAACTACAATTTATTTATATACAATTTTTAATATCTTAAATATTTTCAATTAGAACACAGGATTGAAAATTGTCGCTATCTAATAGTAAATTAAAATACTTACCTGTGGCAACCTTGAATCATTGTATAATTTATTAGTAATATACAGGGTGGCAATTTGAAAACTCACCACCCCCCATGTCTTAGTAAATGAACGAGATATTTAAAAAAATTAAAATCCGTTTCGGTAATTAGGAGGGGGAATCACAATGACATAGTTGGCGACGCACCCCCTCCAGCCTACGTCCTTGGAAAGCTCTGAAAAAATGCTTTCCAACCATACCAAATAACATTACATTTAGCTTACTAATTATCGTGCAAATCAAAAAATAAACTAATATGATACATTTGAAATCTGTCGTATTTAAAACGCAACCGGCGAACATAGACGAACTAAGACAGAGAATAATTCAAGAATGTCGAAATATTGCAAAACCAAGATTTGAAAAGGTTCTACAAGAGTTTGAGGATAGATTATACTACTGTCTTACCAATAACGGAAACCATTTTGAACATTTATTGAAATAAAAGCCAACTTTAGAAAATGTATCATATTACATAGTTTATTTTTTGATTTGCACAATAATTGCTAACCTAAATGTAATGCTATTTGGTATGGTTGGAAAGCATTTCAGAGCTTTCACTAGTGTCACTATTTAAGATTTAAAAGTTGAGGTGGTTGGGGCGCAGGGGGTTGGAGGGGTGCGTCGCCAACTATGTCCTTGTTGATTTTTTTTTAAATATCTCGTTTATTTACTAAGACATGGGGGGGGGGGGTTTTCAAATTGCCACCCTGTATATACAATGGTCGATTTAAATGAAAATGTTGGAAGTGTGCATACCTAAACCTTTAGGAAATATCATAGAGTAATTTACTATCGAACTTGTGTACGTAGTGCTGTCAGACTTATTTTAAATGAAACTTATATACACTCCGACATATGGTCGTAATTTCCAATATTTAAGATCTAACAATTGAAATATCTAAGGTATTTTAAATTAAATTTTCAAATTTTGAAAAATCTTAGACATTTGGAAATATTGGAATTTGGCATATTTTTAAGATCATTTTATTTGTCTGTGTAAATGACTGTTTTTCAAATATCTAAAAATTGTAAAATATCTAAAATATTGGCAATTACTTCAAATCTTGTGAACAGGAAATACTGAACAGGAAAGCAACAGAACTAGCCTAACACTAACAGAAGGATTTCAAATGAAGTGAAGATTAACCATTTCATTTTTCTCAAAAACCGTCCAAGCTGTCATGACACTTTTTGTTTGCTTATGCACCTTGTTTAGTAAGGCGATTCGTATGTTTCACAGTTTGGGTATACTACACTCTACAGTTTCTGTTTCCGAAATACACATAAAAAATAAATACGAGCGTTTATATAAACGATATTAATAATTTTTGCGAGGCAATTAAAATCAAATAATTTCAACCGTAAACAAATAAATGAATTCATATTGTGAAGAGTACATATGATTCATTTTGATACCGATATCGTGACGTAATTAGGAAAAGATACTTCACATAAACCTACTCATAGATAGTTATTTATACTAGTAAGAGGATTTAAACTGGACTACACCATTGTACTTTGGTAGCTTACAAGTAAAGCTTAAATGTATGATCCTATTCAGAGAAATTTGTTTAGCTTTATAGCAGGTCGGATTAAAATTAATTTGGTTCGACGCAGTAATTTGCCGATTTAAATTTACGTTAAAGTTTGCTGCATACATGTATTTTTTTGTTATTTTCCACGCCAAGGGATTTTAATAGTCGGGATTGCAGATAGGGGAAATGCTTCCTACATATTAAAGGTAGGGTGCATCTCAATTGTTAGAATCAAGTTTTAATCGAGTGGGATAATGGAATCTATTAAAGGGTACTTATATGTTACCTGCCTATTTAAATAGCCTTTATTACTCGATAACAGCAACCCTCTCCTTTTCGCAAAGAGCTCTTCATGCTAAAGGGGAATCGTTTGCATTTTGATTTAACACCGTACAGATTTATCGATCATTAAAAAAGATTAGTTTCTTTGGAACGCATTAATTGCACCCCGTACACACCAGCTACAAAAAAATGGATATTGAAATAGGGAATTAAACTCCGTGTAAGGGTCGGTTGGCAAAATTTCCATTCTAATTGGGGGGACCCATCGTCGATGTATTCGATGTTTAGTTAAAGTTAATTAAAATCCGATTGGCGCGTACTAAGCAAAACATGTCAAAGTTGGAACGGGATTGCTATTCAAATCTGCATAAATACATCAATACCAAAGCGTTGCATAAAGTAGTTAAAATACATGGCACATGCGATTTAGTTATATGAATACTAAATTTCAGCCCGCTAACTATGTTGGATAAAGGTGCAAGTTAACATTGACCTGGCCGCGTATAAATTGTCGAGATAATCTTATTTGACACGGCCCTTTGTCGTTAAACGCCTAATTTTCGGCGCCATAAATCGAATAATTAATTGGGAGTATTAATTTCAGAGTCCGATGCGAAAGTCGATTGCGGCAGCGAGGGTGAGATGGTCGAAGGTGATGTTGGCGAAGAGTTGGGGGAGGCTCGTCCGAGAAAGATTCGAAGATCGCGAACTACATTTACCACCTACCAGTTGCATCAGTTGGAGCGCGCCTTTGAGAAGACGCAGTATCCTGATGTTTTTACGAGGGAGGAACTTGCGATGAGGCTTGATCTGAGCGAGGCACGCGTTCAGGTTCGTACATATTGGTTTTAAAGTTGCTTATCTTTGAAAAATCACGCTCAAAGCGAAATTCCTCTCTTGGGGACCCTATAAAAAAATTGAGGAAGAAGTACGTTCACCGAAAAGTAATTCCTGGACACTGTGCAGTACCTACTCTCAGGACTAGATTCATTTCATCGTCTCTACATTACTACATAATAGCACTAGATGGCGTAGGACATAGGGAGTGCTCCCAACCCATTAGGAAGAAAGTTTAACTATCTATCAAATACATGTATTTTTATGTGGGTTTATGATTGAAAATAGTGCACGCAAGTCTGGAAATATCAGAAAAAGTCGGATATATGAATATCAATCGGCACCCCAATAAATCTGTGCTGTAAAAGCCAAGTGTTTAGAGATTTGATACATTTGTAGATTGACAAAGTCCTTGAAAGTAGGTATATCGCAATTATCTAATAAAAACTGGGGGTTAGTATGACAAAAATATGGTCCCCATGAGTTTGATCTGGAAAAATACCCCACTGAGCAAATCTCATTCTACAGAATTCAATAAAATACCCCAATGTACCAAGACTCGTCAATTTCGTTGAAAATCTAGTTCGAAGAATAAAGACGAACTTCACGAGAGCAGTGGAAAGATTTCGATTAGTTCTACGGATGATTATGTAACTCTTCACAATCCAATGTACGTACCTCAATGTACTCCATCAAAAAAATGCGTAAGTCAATTATGGAATAAAATTGACAAAATTTAACACGCAACGCAACGTCATTAATCTTCTCTTTGTCTCCAGTTTGTTTTTGAACTCTTTCAATTTTGCAAATATCGAGTATGATACGTACGACGAGTTTTCGAACATTTTCTAGATAATAATTTGGAAATGCTGTGGAAATTTTAGTTGTAAGCTGATAGAGTCTTGGTCGAGCCGGGTTAATGCCCTGAGAGGCCCTAAGCAATGAGAATTTTTGGGGCCTCTTTTTTTCTGTATGTTGCATCGACTAATTATAATTGATTAAATACATAGTCAGAAGCTTGGTATAAAAGTATACATATGTGCACATAAAGAGTTGTGATTTAATAACAGATAAATTCAATAAAAATTAAATGGAGGCGCGTTAGTAAATATGCTCGGACCCGTCGATTTTGCTTTTGGATTGTGTATATTTTGTAGGTATACAGGGTGTCCCAAAAAAGCGTGCAGAAAAAATATGTTTCCTCGCCCCCTTTTGGTTTCTATGCCCCCTTGTTCTCGGGTGACGATTGCGTTGCTTCAGTGTCCACGAGACTGTTTATAAAATGGTTAATTTTTGGAAAAGTCGTATAAGTGCGAGGCCCGTGCTTCGGAAAAGTCATGTTACCGATTAGGGTTGGGGGCCAGCGTATTTTCATTTGCTATTTCATGGGGCGAGTATTCCACAGTGCGTCTATCATCTCACATGGAATACAGTAAGTAATATTTGCCAAAGGTATATTTTACATTATTATTTCGAAATTATTAATATATTTAAACATACTTGTTTAAACCAACAGTATTTAATATTTCTTTAATAAATTATTTATTTCAGATTTTGTACAAAAAATTAAAATTGATTCAGTTTCTTTTTTCTCTTTTTCTCATTATTTTTTGGCTGGTGCTCTAATTTGGCTAGTGCCCTCAGCACGTGCTTAGTCTGCTTATGCATTAATCCGGCCCTGAGTCTTGTTGAACTTGGACTAAACCGTACTCATTCGACCTCATATAACAAACAATAGTGTAGTCCCCCTGGGCGGAAACGTCCGGAATATTTTGTTGTTAACAAAAAACGAAGAAAAATTGAGAAAATGTCGTGTTTTTTCGCATTTGACTTCGTATATTTTGTTAACTATTGCTCTGAGGGAAAGAATGAATAGAAATGAACTTGTTTAGAATAAAATTTTCTATAAGATACAGTTGGTCCAGAACGCTCATTTTCAATTGTTATTGTTTTTTATGGAAAAATGTGAAAAATTAATCTCTAAAATTAACAGTTTGTTATTACTAAGTAAAATTCATCCCATCGTTTTGAAAATCCGTATTTAGTAACTTCTTTTGATAACAAAACAATATGACAAACCCGATCACTGTACGTTTCATAGTAATTGATTAATTCAATAGACAAGTAAAAAAAGGGATGATTTGTCTTTCAAACTGGGAGAGTACAAGAGCGTTCCCAATTTTGTTATACATAGTTTTACCCTAAAACAATCTTTTCCAATAATTGTCCCGATAATTCTTGCAAATCGACGGACTGTAGAATTTTTTTTCGGAATTCGGAGAATTTTCTTAGTTAACAAATGACTCGCAATATAACAAAAAAATATAACTATAATAGGCGAATGGGAAGCTCTCGGAAAGACGTACATTAAAAAAATATACGTCCAAATCCGATTAATAATTTACGAGAAATCAGCTTTTGACTTTGAAGCCAGTTTTCGAAACCAAAAATGATTTTGCAAAACGGGTCGCACCGATCGATTCTTTAAAGCGTGAACTTTTTTATGCTTCTATTTCACCAAAATCAATGATTTTTATTACTTTGAGTGCCAAGGGCCGATTGATTAACTTTCTTGTTATATCTCGGAAGCTATTCCATTTGTTGGTTAAGTAAAAAATTTCCACAGTCCGTTGATTTGCAAAACATGATCGGGACAATTATTGGAAAAAATTGTTTTAGGGTTAACTATGTGTAAAAAAATTGGGAACGCTCTTGTAGTCCCCCAGTTTAAAAGACAAGGCATCCCTTTTTTACTTGTTTATTTAATTAATCAATTGCTATGAAACCTACGGTGATCGGGTTTGTCATACTGTTTTGTTATCAAAAGAAGTTTCTAAATACGGATTTTCAAAAAGATCGGATGAATTTTACTTGGTAATAACAAACTGTTAATTTTAGAGATTAATTTTTTACATTTTGCCATAAAAAACAATAACAAAAACATAATTATTCTAAATTTTATTCTAAACAATTAAAGTTCATTTCTACTCACTCTTTCTCTCAGAGCAATGGTTAACGAGATATATAAATAATTAAAATAACTTTTCTTTGGAGTCGCGGAGACTTTCTTTACCAGCTAAAAACATGAACAATATGCAGGCGAAAATTAGTGCGGTTAAATAAGTTTTTTTTAAAATATTGATCTTAGGTCACATCATATTAAGGTCCGAAAACCTCGGAAAAAACAAGTTTCTCAAAAAAATCTTTCGGCGCTATCTGATGGGGTTTAAGGAAAGGTGCTTCTTAAACAAATTAATTAAAGGCACATCAAAATAGACTGCGAATCTACAGACTAAAAGACGCCACAAAATTATTACGCACAGTTCATTTCTTATTTGTAACCCAATTCTTCTGGAATTTCATCAGAAGATGCTTCAGAAGGTACTTTTCAGATATGTACCTAACCGTTTTGGTTAAATAGGGAAATGGAATGTGCGGCTTGGGTAACTATTTTTTTTGGAAAAAAGACCATTAATTTGAAAATGCGCTTTTTGTAAATTGATTACGGTTACTCGAGAACGATTTTCCTTCATCATGAGCGACTTCGTTTAATGTGCGTCTGGGATCCCCAGTGGGATCTCAAATGCTTAGACGACCAGACTGTGGATTTGAAGTTGAATTTTTGGCATATCGTCAAAATGGTAAGATTTGTCGAAATCGAAAAGAGGAAAACTGTTCTTACTAAAATGTGAGATTCTTGGTATTATGGTTCAAGTTAGAAATGCTCTTTTAATACGTACCATAAATTTCTACAAGCAGTTAATTTGGATATATATCGTTTTGAGTTCACAATTCGCTGTCTAAGGGTTGAGATCTCAGAATTGTTTTTTAGATAGCCACACAAAAAGCCCAACAAAAATAATTACCCCTGTGTTTATATTAATTGTGTTTCTTGGTAAATAATTATACTTCAAATCCTTTCAATTGCAATTTACATTTTAAATGCCAAATTGTACACTAATGATGATTGATTATAGAAGATACATCTAATTACGAGTAGTGGAGCAGATACCAATAACAATAGGACCATACATCCATTAATTATTTTCACCAAATGGTATTCAAAAGCATATGCCTGGAGTAATTACTATATTACTAAACAGTTCAATAAATTATTTCAATCGATTTACCTATACATGGAAATCCCCAAGTAATCTAAAATTAACAACAAGTTAATTAAACAATAGATTAGAATAGCAAAGAATTTATCATAAACTGGTTAGGTATACGCTTTATACCTTTTTCCATGATGCACGTTATTGAATGTATTAATCGATTTGTATAATTGCCGGAGTTCAAATTGAGAAATAAACACCGAAATATTAACCGCGCGGTAATTAAATCAAGGCTCATTAAAGTAATTCACCATTAATTATAACCCATAAAACATTATTATATTCCTTTCTTTAATCCGGGAACGCTATATAGTGAAGTGCGTTAATTGCTAAAATTAAAACGCATTGTTCTTTCACTTACTTCAAATTAGCGTAAAATATTGCAATGCTACATTTAGAACCCCCGCGCTTTTTGTATTAAATTTTAAATTGCTCAATTTTCCATTTAATTGCGACGTGTGTGTAATTTTTTTTGTCTGCGCAAATGGATTGTGCAAATTAGGGGCAATGTCAATTATTCTACCCTCAATTTGATTGAATTTATTGAATAAGCCCGCGTTCAGATAATGCCTCCCATGAATTGCATCTTAATTAGTAACAATTTTGATAATTAATCTGGTCTGTAACTGCCTAAGTGGCGCCGCAATTGGGCATTGTGCTCGACAATAGCGGTAATCGGAACTGGTTCCGGTCTCTGAAACTCTCTGATGTCTCATTTAAAGTGCCTTCGCTGTATTGTAGAACAGAAAATGATATACGCACATCTCTTTTCAATTACACATATAAAAGAACTCGGAAGCGAATTAGGGTTGCAGTTGAAATGCGCTAAAATAGTTTTCTCTTTTACAGGTCTGGTTTCAGAATCGTAGGGCGAAGTGGAGGAAACGCGAGAAGGCGATGGGTAGAGAAGTGGCTCCTTTTATGCACCCCGTTGATCAGTCCGGTAGGTCGTTTTGTTTTTTTCATTATTTCAGTCAGTCGATAACGCCATGTTGCCTTATTTCAGGATTACCGGAGTTAGCGCTGCATGCTCAATTGGGTCTTCCGCCGGTAGGTGCCGATCACTTCTGGCCCGGCTTACCATTTCCGCCAATTTTCAATCCGGCCATGGGACTACCGTGGGCGGCGAAGTCACCTTTAACAGTACCTGGTTTTCACGCTTTTTTATCACAGTACGTTTTGGCCAACGGCGGCTTACCGCAAAACTCGCCGGTGAATATTCCAATCGAGGAGAGATCGAGAAGCGTTAGTCCCGAAGCGGTTAGCCCTTCGCAAATGTCCCCACGAAGGTCCTCCATTGAAACGCTAAGGATGAGAGCTCAAGAACTCGTCCCTAAAACGTCTCCGCAACAGCAATTGCATGCTAAGTCTTAAGATTAACAGTTGCCATACTGCAATCGTGATAATAAGCGGTGGAAGGTCGCCAGAAATGTACGATTTTTCTGTAATTATATGCGCCATAAGTAAATTAAGGTAATATGTCATGCATAACGATCTTCTGTACACCATACGATATTTATTATTAGTACTTGTATTGTACACGTAAGTGTTTGTTTATGTACTTCAATTACAATAGCTGTATATATAAAAATAGTATCTGCATTATGTAAATAAATTATAACTTGCGTTATTGATTGTTTACACTTTGCCTTTCGGCAACGCAATTATTTAATAAATACGATAACGAGGTACAATTTCGCACGTAATTTGCACTTGCAGCAGGTGCAAACTTTTATGTCAGTTCGGTTTCATGAATATACTAAAATAGGCGGAACTAATGAGAAAATGAACGTGCTTTCATCACCCCATCCGCGTAATGTCCATGACGACTATAAAATTTTATTGCAATTGAAGTTAGTTTATCGCCAATTATGAAACGGCAACAGTAAAGGAACCAACACTTCTCTTTCACTACTTATTTTCGTAATGATTCATTCCAGGCGTTGAGCATCATGAAATAAATTATTGACAATGTTTTCTAAAACCCATACATGGAGTTTTATTGAATAAGGGCATTAGGGCTCGAAATTGATGGATCCGTTCATATTAAAAATATAAGTGGCTTATAAACAAATCCGGTACGCAAATAGAGGCTCAATTTAAAATTTGATCCTTATTAAAGTGGTCTTTTGTTTTTCAATTGTACTTCAGAGCTATATTCTTTCAGAAACTTCACTAAATCCGTTTTCAAATTGCAAAGTTAGCATTTGCGCGCTAAACTTGGCGGTATTAAATATCGATTATTAATGACATTACTATGGGGATGCGACGTTTACATTAAGGAATATCAATTACTTCACCCTTTTAGGTTAAACTGATTCACAAGATTGCTTTATTTTAAGTCTTTACTAATAATTAAAATAGAAAGTTCCAATACACAACAAATAACAACCCTTATCGAAAGGGAATGGTGGTGTATTTTTTAAGTTCCCCATTTGAATAGAGTAAATTTATTTCAACAAAGAGTCAGCGTTTTCGCATGTAAGGGTTTGAACTACAAATATCGGTATTCATTATGAAGCCCCTATAAAAATTTCCGGAAGTTCATTTTGAACTTCGAAGAAGAAAGAGTGCAAAATCCATGCAACCAGAATTATTGCAACCCTTAAACTATATCCTCAAAAATTTACTTTTTTGTTGTATATTATTGAAAACGCATTTGTGCAACACACAGATTTTCTTGAACAATTATACAGGGAGATTCACATAGCCCGTTCCTTAGAAGTTTTTAAACTTGCAGTTGAAATAGAATTTGGTTTACAACCATAAATCGACCATTGCGAATTGAAGTAAAATAATTTCAAGTTGACGCCGTAAATACATAAATAAATACCTGAAGAGGCGCCATGTTGTTTTTTTCTAATGAAAACAAAAACATACCATTTTCTATTTGTTCTAAATACTCCCTTTTCTTACGAATTCAACGACAAAAATTTGCGTACCTATCTTACATTGTTCTTTTTTATAATCGAATTCTTAAAGTCTGTGATATTTTGAGTCACCGCCGAAGGTCTTAAAAAAGTTTTCGAGTACGATTTTTCAAAAAAATGTCAAAAACTTCAGTTTGTCAATTTGCAACTACTTTGATAAATGAACGTATACCTATTTATATTTTAGAGTCACTTTTATTAACATTCTGTATGTCTATATCCGGTAGTTTTTGAGCTAATGGCTACGAATACAAAAACGTACGGCATACAAAAAAAAAAATTTGTTAGTTTCAACAGGATGGTTAATTCGCGCCTATACCTATCGGACAAATTCCCCTGTAAAATAGAAAATTTGTCCGATAGGTATATTCTCGCACGACTAGGGCGTTGTGCGCGGGTGCACCATCCTGTTGAAACTTACAGTAAGCAGTTCTTAATCTCTCTATACAATGAAAATAATTTAGAAAGCAGCAAATTAAAATAGAAACACACCCCAAAATGTAGTAACCTCTATACCAACATTTATTATTTATTAGTTAAACTCGTTATCGTCCAACAAGAACTGAACGTTTAAGAAGAACAAAACCCCAAGAATCAAAATAATCTGCTCTGATGAGCTCATATGCACCTGGCAGAACATGTAATAAATTTTTTTAAAAAAGGAGCATTTAATTCGGGAATAGGGTAGTTAATTAGCACCTAATTATGCAATATGTTTGATTGTGTTCTGCTGACCTTGTTCTGCTAGGTTCATGGACATAAAGGCAAATATTCCTAGATAATAATAAATAAACCCACGAACAGGTTTTTCAGAGACGAATCCACTTGTAGGCGAAATTTCGTAAAACCATCTAAAATTTAATCAGCTGTTATAGAAGCACATCCGCCTAATATAGTATTTGCATTGACTACCTTCAAAATTGCACTAGAATATAGACGTATCCGCAGCGAGCTATCAGCCGAATATCAATAAGGGCATGTATATTTCCAGTAAATAACAAATCGAAAGTCGGCGTTCCTTTCTTTACTCTTGCCTACGAATAATGCATGTGTGTTAAAGGAATGTATTGTTACGACGTCCTTATTGTAAAAGGTCCGTACCTTTTAGCACCATGATTGAGTTTGTTATACAATTGCTTTACAATGATCAAGACTGTTTTCTAATCTCAGTCTGTTAAGCCGGTACTTTCTTGGTCCATTACATCGGGAGGAAGGCACACGCTTCAACGCCCCTGTCGGTCCCTTTAAGATTATCACCAGTCGCCATAGAATTCAGCGTGTAGCTAGAGATCGTTAAACCTCAATTTTCTGTTAAAATGAAAATGAACGTAAACTGATTTTTATCTTGACCATACAAGTAGGTATACGACTTTCGATTGGTTTGCATCTCTTCGTTAATACTTTCAGTAAAAGTTGTCGGGTACATAAGTGCTACAAACCGGTGGATTAGTGGATGATAATAGTTATTTATTATACAAAACGATAAAGGGGTGCTTTAACCATCGAGTGAAATATGAATTAACTTTCCCGAGATGGTTAGTTTGAAGTTTCCCTTCATAGTTGTGTATAATGCAAAACTGTATTTTATAGCAGGAGCCATGTAAATCCTAAAAAACTTCTGAAAATTCTCAATTTAAGTTAGACGTCAAAAATAGCAAGCTTAGTCTTCTTCTTCTTCTTCTGGGCCTCACTTTATCTCATGCTCCGCGTCCCATTTTTAGTAAGAATGACAGATGCCGTTAGAACACATATCCTTTACCCTGCTGTTAAAGTGTCTACTACTCTTACTGTTCTGGAGAGAAAAAAATATATTTCTTCGAACAGATGTAAACCTATTTTCTTAGTTATCATCCCACCCTTATTTTTCAGTGTGGAATCAAATGCTGAAAAGAAAGACGTGGGTTTCCATTTGAAATTTATTATGAATATCTGAACACTCGGTACAATGCTTTTGGACTGTATTTACAGGTCACTTATGCTTGTGTACACTAAAAATAACTATACATATCGAAATTCACAAAATACGTAGTATTATCTTAAATTAGTTATTTATTAATTCAAAAATATTTGAAGTACCAGGAATATTTTTGAAATATTTAGAAATTCCTTTTTTTTTACTAAAATTTCCTTTGAAATTCCTCTGTTGTGCAGGAATATCCTACGATATTCCGGTAATTTTTGGAAATTCCTTAATATTCAGCAGTTGTCATTTAAGAGCGCCATCGTGGTGCAAAAGGGAAGAAATGAGGCAGTTTAGACTGTGCTCATCACATCATTAAGTTACCATGCAGAGACTGTATCAGAAATACTTTCCTGAAAGACAAAATTTGAGTATTTGAGGGTGGAAAGGAAAAAAAATATTTTCTTTCAAGGACATTGCCTTGTTTACTTTCAACTTTTAAATTGAAAGTCAAAAGTTTCAAAATTTGGAGGTTAAAAAGGAGTCCCAATATTTTAATATTCAATTATGGAAGGAAATTTCCAACGTTAGAAATTACAATTTAGAAATACCTTGAGTAGCTTTAAGTTTCAAATTACAACCTTTAATTATAAATGTTGGGGCATACAGATCAAGGGGTAGGTGCAAATGACCGTTTGAAGCAGATATCTGAAACTTTAAACTTGTAAACCGTTCACACCTTTAAAACAAAATTCATTTGAAATTCTCAATTTTAAAGTCGTAGTATAAAGAATGAATTTGATGTTGTAATATTGAATAGTCAAATATCAGTTTGACGATTCTGAGTATTTGAGTATTTGTAGTTCTATAATTTAACAACAGTACTAGCCTAAAGTTTCAAAATTTGGGAGTCTGATAGTATAAGAAGTATTTAAAACCGTGATTTTGAAGCAAATTCCCGAAAATAACACATTACTGGCTAGGAAATATTGCCTTTTTGGGGCCGAGTGTTTTAATTTCCGAGTGGAGGAGTGTAATTCTTCCTGGCGCGTTTTGTATTAAATTTTACCCGAAATCGTATTTTAATACAAAATTTCAATTTGCCTACAGAACAATCTCTGCGTTTATTAAAAGTAGCATATATGAAAATTGAAATTTTATATTAAACGGAAAAATGTAATTCAAAACTTGTCAGTAAACTGACACTACTTGACTCGGATAATTAAATTTTTCTGACCTTTATCATTGAACAAAAATAGTGTTTTTATTCAATGCTCTTATGTAAATAACAGCTATTTCTTAACATCATACCATAAAAAACTCAAAAGTCAAATTTGAATTTAACTGAAAACTACCCCAGATACACATAGGAAGGCTTTTAATTTCTACACGAGCGATTTAATATAAATTGTTGTTTTGTAATGATCCATATTCACAATAAATTATATTCTTTGCAACTGAAGAGTGAATCTGTCTTCAAAACGGAATCAGAAGCTGCGAAAAAATTATGGTGCTTTATCTAAAATAAGAAAGTTCTTCCTCCATATTGCGAATGGAAATCACACACAACATTTGCAATCAATAGCATAAAGGGGTTTCCCAAACTTGGTTTACTGAGGGTTAACTATATTTATCAACCATGTCATTTTAATGCCTTTCACTTCATCTTTGACGTTAGTGTTGTCTTCACAGAGACCAAAATAATCACTATACTCCCACTTTTGTGCAAACAACTTATTATTATCATCATTAATTTGGAAACTCGGTCCCAAATAAAGGTTAAAATTCAATTGCTGTAAC